CACACAAGCTATGTGTGTCTTGTGGAGTCACACATACACAAGACCATGAGCATCCTGTGTTTCACTGTACACACTCTGGGTGGGTGCTAGAGTGCCCAGTCTAAGGTGAATCTTTGTGCCCCCCACAATTGGCCTCCATTAAAATTCCAGCAATGGCTGGTGAGCATGATCTATTAAACCCAGTGGCTATCTTCAACACAACTGACCTCGTCTTTCTCCCTCTCCTGTCTTGAGGGCCTTTGTAGCCTCTGCCTGCTGCTCCTATGACCCTTCTCATGGATTCTTCTCCTCTCATCGTTCAGATTCCCTGGGCTTAAACCAAATCCCTCCTCTTGCCACCCTACTCTCTCCCCGGTCAATCTTGGGTGTTCCCAGTGCCTCAACTACATCTACACTGATGAGTCCAGCCCCAGACCCATCTGTAATATTATTAATTGCTATGTGGGTCTCAGAACAACCTCAGCCAGAGTCCAAATTCAAATTTGTGGTTTTCCCTGCCATTCTGGATGTTAACTTGATCCTGACTTCTTCTCATTCCCAACACCCAAAAGATGCTTAAATTCTTTAGAATGTATCTCATAAATTTGCCTCAGTTCAGGCACACAGCTCCACCATGGCCACTGTCCCACTGTCCAAGCCACCAGCATCCCCAACAGAGACCCCTGCCCCAGCCCCAGATGTCTCCTTTCTGCTCCTTGAGCATCAAGTCATGTTCCAGAGGACACAGAGGGACAACAACCATCTTACCAAAATTTTTTAAATTAGGAGGACATTAGCCTACTGTCCAAATCTTACCAGGTAAAAAGCCAAAATCGAGCTCCAGTTGACCAGAACAGGAGATAAATATTTCTGAATATTTCTGAAATGATTAAAGCCAAGGGCAACAGGGCTCAGACTCCAAAACTGCTGCAGGCACAGACGCCCGCCTCCCTGAGGGTTCTGAATCACACAGTATGTGGCCTGTGCCTGTCTGTTCTAGCTTAAAGGAACACTCTCCATGCCTTCTTCTCCTGCAAGGACCCTCCACCAACCTGCACCACACTTTTGGCCCTTGGAGGATGAGAAAACCCTCTATTGTATCCCACCCGCACACTGCAGTCCTCAGAAGCTAGCCTCACAAATTATAGGAGAGCCGATGCAAACACACTGGGTTCCAGTGGGCAGCCATGTCTGCATGTCAGTTTGAGAGATCATTGCCTGGGAAATATCTATATTTCAGCCCTTTGGAGTCCAGCTGTGCTCAAATGGGAATCCTGAAATCCAGATTTGGTCCAAACACCTTGTCTCTGCAAGCCAGCTTCTGAATTCTCTGTTGTGAGAGTGAACCTTGAGAGCCACCTGTCTGCCCACCCACACCCTAGAATCCTCGGCCTGAGAAACAGGGGGGATCTTGGGGGAGGGCAGGGTGGGAATCAGTGATTCCAAGTTGAAAGCCAAAGATCTGCCAAAATCCAATGTGAGATTTAGGTAAATGATATTCACCCTTGCACTTCACCAACAGACAGGGGATGAAGGATGGAGTCTGATTCACCCAAATAATTTTTTAAATAAAAATTGACCACTTGTTTTGTGCTTTTTCATTATCTAAATACTATAAGCATTTCCCGTCTATTATCTTATTATTTTACTGAATGCCAACATAATCTTACATAATGAGATTACCTCTGTTTCACAGATGAGGAAACTGAGGCTCACAGAGATAGTATAAATTTCCCAAGGCTGCACAGCTTACAAGTGGTATAGTAGGAACCTAAATTCAATACCCACACTCTGACACATTTTTGCAAGTATAGATGAGTGGCTCTCAGCCTAGGGACATTTTTGGTTGTCACAACTGGAGGTGGGGGAGGCAGTGCTACCAGCACGCAGTGGACAAAGGTCAAGGATGCTACTAAGAATCCTACAGTACACAGGACAGCCCCCACAAAGTATCTCACCAAATGTCAACAGTGCCAAAGTAGAGACATCCAAGTGCAGAACCATCACCAGCAAAAAAGGAAAGACCTGCAGTCTTGATCCACCCCTCCAGGAGACCCATGCTGACGATAACCTTCCACTCCGGTTTCAACCCCAGGGTCCCTTGAGTGGAGAGTCCATGTAGCGATTTCATGGATTCTGATGAACTGTTACCCTTGAAAGCTCAGTTCTGCCCAACACAACCCAGAAATCTATGCCAAGCTGCCTCTTCTTGGAAAAAAGCTGAACAATGACTGAGGATGGTAACTGAATACCTAGAAGAAATTTTTCTCTCCCTCCAGGAAGAGTTGTGGATGACTATGGGTAGTGACCCCTGGGACCACTCTAAAGGAACCAATGAAAGCTCTGGGAGGACTATTTTTTTTATACGAGCTCAACAGCACTGGTGCTGGCGAGGCTTAAGGGAATCTGTGAAACTTGTGATACCTGGTGGAAGATCAGCCCTCACTAAACACACACCCTCCTTCCACCGCACCTCCTGCAGGACTCAGCACTGAGAGGGCTCCTTGGGCTCCAAGTGACCACCTAAAAGCACCCCCAGAAATCACCAGAGGAGGTGACCCCCTCCTTAAAGAAACAAACCTGAGAGCCACTCTGAGGGACAACCAGTCATATGTGAACCTCTGCCACCCAAAGTGCCAAACCTGGTGATGGAAAAGGCTATTTTATCCTTAAAAACATCTGGATACAATATGGACAGGGAGGTGATGCCAGTGCAGCTTCCTCAGAGAAAAGCCCAAAATGATCAGTATCTCAAAATAAGCTGCTATTAAAGAACAAGGATGTTTTTGACATTTCAGCCAAGTAATGGTCTACACAGACAAAATCTCGTGAAAAGGCAGGCTGTTCTTGATCCATTTGGATGTGGTCTCTGAGTGAAGAAAAGGGCTCTGCTCAGAGAAATTGCTGTTGCTCCTAGCACCATCCTGAAACTGCTTCCTGGTTCCATAAAGGAGATATTCCTACAGAATCTAAAAAGAGAGAGAACTCTCTCTGAGGGGCACTGTGGGCAGCCCACGCTGTGGCCAACCTTTAAACTTGAAAACCAAGATGCCATGTCTAGGAGGTGCCAATGCCCCCAGGAGATCCAGGTGCCCCCAAAGGAGTCATATTCAGGCTCAGGAAACAAAGAACAACTTCTGCCCAGTTATGTCATGATCCTTCAAATTGTGGAACCCCCATTTCCCTTTGTGAACCAAAAAGTTCAGTGGGGTCTCTGCCTTTTGAAAATTTTATCATCTACACATAAATCCCTTAACCTCCAGAAAGCATTACTCAGCTTTCTGGAGTTTCTGGCCCAAGACCCTTGTCTCTGGTCATTCATTCCAGAACCAAACATGGCAGCAAGCAAGCCAAATGGAGTGAATTTCAGTACTAAATCACATTTATTGAGTACATGCTATGTGCCAAGTGCAATGCTAAGTGTCTTCAATGGATAATCTTTGCTTAATCTCAGGAGTAATAACCATGAGAAGAGGCCTGTTGACACATCCATTTCACCATTAAGGACACGGAAGCTCAGAGACATTAAGTAATGTGTGCCAGGTCACCCAGCTAAGAAGGGCCCGAGTTCAGATTCAAGCCCACATTCCTAAGCATGCCCTGCACTTGGTCACTTCACTCCATTCAGCAAAGTTCCCCATAGAAGAGAGAGGTGACAGGAAGAGGGAGGGGCTGACAACAGTGAAAGTTTCACAGCATTGCACCACCCCGGAAACTGTGTGGGCCTCTCCTCCCGCCATACTGCGACACTACTCCCTTCTCATCCTTTCCACAGTGTACCCCAAAAGCCTTCCAAAGCATTCCTTCTCCTGGGATCTCAGAGTGAAATTCCCCTGTTTTTTGCTGCCCAGGTGGCCCAAGATCTGAACACGGTGACAGTCACAGGGAGGCATGCCCATCAGCTGGGCTGTGCTGCAGCCCAGACATTGGAGGCATCGGAGGAGGCTGCTGCTGCTGCCTGCGTGGTTTTGGAGAAAGGAGAACTCTCCCTCATGGGGCTCACCAATCACTAATCAAATTTTTAAGATGAGCTTAGTCAAGCAATTGGTCAAGAATAAAAACATTTGGGAGATACAAAAAGGTCAACCCCATTATTCATGAAAACTTTCAAGGTGGCAGCCCTTGCCATGGGGACAGCTGCTCACCATCCCTCATCTGTCCTCCAGACGCTGTGTTCCCCGACGTAGGTAAGGTCACCAGGTCACAGCTGGAAGATTTAGGAGAGAAGCAGAAAATGGGGACTGGGAGTCAAGCTGGCCTCAGAGACTCATCCCACACCTAATGACTCACATACCCACAAACATACACAACAAATCACCTCACACATACCCTTAGCCAGCAGACCAAAGGCAGGCAACACCCTAGGGTGTGCCCAGAACTTCGCCTTGTCACTCTCTGAAGGGATGAGGAGAGGAGAGTGACTTAGGGGGTGGAAGCCACCTGCCTTTCCCCTGAACTCTCACTGCCCAAGCAGAATGGGAGCAAAGGCAGGAGAGGGGCTTGGTGGCTGCTGCCAGCGCAAACGCTGACAGGATCGACAGGGCCAGGTTGGGCAGACTATACCCAGGTACTTCCTACTCAAGCCCCTTGCTAGAGAGGCACACACAACCAGCAAAGTCCCAGAGAGACATCCAAAACAGCCCTGTCCAGGATAGGGGTGCTGGGTGAGGGCTGCTCAGAGCAACCCCACCTCCTTCCCCTCCTGGGGCCCCCAGGACGCAGATTCCGCTCCCCCAACACACACACTTTTTTTTTTTTTTTTTTAAAGAACCATGAAGCCCAAAGGTCTCCCAGACACCAAGGACGTCAAGGAGAACCAGCAAGTCCATGCTACATAAACAAGAGGGAATTTCCATCAATATCGGAACATCTAGTTTCTCGGGAGGTCCCTGCAAGCCATCATACCGCGCCCGCCCCGCAGGAGTTGCTGCCCAATTACCAACTTGGACCTGACGGCGGACAGATGGGGAACGTCCCAGCCACCCCCCAGCCGCATCCCTCCTGCGCCCCTGCTCACTTACACCTCTGCCTTCGACACCTGTCTGGGTGCCCGTCTCTTCCCTGCCCAGGCGTGGAGTGTCTTCTCCCTCCTCCTGCGCTGCGCTTCCTCCTTCCAGCCCCAGCCTCAACCTCTTCTCCTCCGGAGGGGCATCCTCCTCCTCCCGCCTCTGCCGGCCGTCCCTGCCTCTGAGCTTGCCCTTGTCTTCGGGGCTGCCGGAAGGGCTGGCCATGGCTCTCGGGGACTCTGCCTGCACTTGAGGAAAAAGAAAGCCCCGGCAGCCTCCTGAGCCCAGCGGCCTGTCGATGGGAGATGGGGCTTCTGAGCGCGGCCTCGGTGGGTTCGCACCGCGCCGCTCAGAGCTGGACTCCTCCGTGGACCACTCCTGTCTCTCTGCCGCCCCCTGCTGCCTACTAGCGCGCACCGCAGCACGCGTGGAAGAGGCCTGTGCAGGTCTCACCTGCCCAGAGGGACTGCTGGCTCTCCACTGCCAGGGGCCAGGCCCAATCTGGCAAAGTCCTGCCCCCAGGTCGTACCCAGGGGTCTCCCTGCCCAAGGAAGGGAGGAGAGAAGGGACAGATAGACGTCCGCTTGTCCAGCGCCCTGCAAGAAAGGACACCCTGGTCTCTGGTGCTATTCTGCATGATGAATGATTTGGATGTGGCCAGAAAAAGGAAGCTGCTCAAAATGCATTGAGAATCTAACATGAAGGATGGCATGCTTAATGCACAGGCATCATCTTTCAAAGTTGTGCTTACATATCACGGATATTTATCAAGCGTCTATGGGTCAGGCATGGCCATTGCAGAAGGGGGTGATAAGGATGATCATGGCAGGCATTTCCTGTGCCCCTGCAGAGCTAAACACCTGGTGGGAAGGTGATGATTGATTGACATTGTCAAAGAAGTGCCAAGAACTGGGAACCTAAAAGAGAAGGGCCTCTCCCCAGGTCTGGGGTAGAGGGGCAGAGGAGTGACCACTGAATGAAGACTATGAGGAGTTGTCATACATGTGAAGGGTGTTCAGGTGGAGAAGACAGCACATGCAACAGAGACTGGGAGAAAGGCAGCAAAAAGCCTTCGGGGCTGCAGCAGGTGGTCGAGGCGAAAGCAGTGTGGTGTGGGGAGGGAATGGTTGCTGAAGACCAGGCATGCGAGACCAGACCAGCTAGAGGACTACTGCAGGGCTCAGCCCAGCAGCAGTACAGATGGACATCCTTGAACCAGGAGGTAATTTTTGGACATGTAGGTGATTTGTCCAGTGCCCAGTGCAGGCTAAGTGAATGCCAGGCTCCTCTATTCCCTGAGCTTTCCCTACCACACATTCAGACCATATTGTACTTGCTTAATTGTTGTCCCTACCTCCAATTTGAAAAGCTGTCACAGTGGGTGGCACATAGTAGGTATTCAAGAAACATTTGTTGGGTAACTAAATGGATCCACTCCCACCAAGGGTTCCTACATCCGTCAGCTTCCCCTTCTTACTCCAGCCCTTTCCTCTCTCCTCCATCTCTTCATTTCCCACAACAAATAATTTTAATAACTACAGATAGGCTTTGAGACTCTCTTCTATTACTTTCTACATATTAATTCCTCTAAATGCCACAATGATCACGTTATTACCCATTATACAGAGGAAGAGACTGAGGCATAAAAAGGTAAGTGACAGGCCCAAGGCACATTATAATGGGACTTGCTGCCATTGAATTGGGAAACCTAAATGCAATGAGAGTCATTGGAACCCAGGGTGACAGGGACCAAGTGGAGACACTCAACCACCAAAGGCAAGTCAGTGTGGTTATTGTAATGAACAGCAGAGTCAAAGCAGCCATCAGAAGCATCTGACTCCCACTGACCTATGGCGCTGGCTAGTTGATCATGATGTACCTAGACATAAAATAGATGGGAAGCCTTACTATATTCTTACTCAATCTGTATAAGCAGAATAGCTCTAGGTCAAGTGAGCAAACTTATCAATGGAATCACAAAAAACAAAGGCATGATGCCCCCCATCAATTCCCAGAGTCGAGCCAGTCTACCGACCCAGAACCCTTTGAATGAAGAGGAGGCTAGCGCCCCCCCCGCCTCCTTGAGGACGGAGCCTGGCTTACTGCCAAAATGTATACCGTTAATCTTCCTCCCAGCATTCCCTGTAGGAATCTACAGCCTTTTACCATAGGGCCTGCAGTGGGAAAAAGAAAATCAGACCTTTCCAAGATCAATGGACACAGGCTACAGGCTCTCTACTGACACTAATTCCAGGAGACCCACAGGTCACTGGAGTCCAATCAGAATAGGGCTTACAGAGGTCAGGTGACCAACCAAGTTTTAGCTCAAGTTCATATCTCAGTGCATCCAGTGGGTCTCCACACCCATCCTATGGTTACTATTGGTAGAGCTTAGTTAAAACCCAGGATATCCAACTTAGAGGCTGAGCTCCTAACCACAAAAAGTGTCAACCCCATTTCTGCAGCATTTGAAACTAGGAAGGATGGGTAGGGATAATCAAAAGATCATAAAGCCTGACATCAAAAGAAAAGGCACAAGTTTACCAAGCCAGAGTGAGTAGATCCCCCAGGGGCCACTCCTCAACTTCCCAGCAGCATGACTGGAAAGATGAGGGGAAGGTCAGACAAAGGTAAGCCCTTTTACCCTCTTCTGGGAAAATACAAGTAAATTCTTTTGGAGGCTACCCCAGGGATAGAAAAATCCTATATAATAAAAGGGTGATAATATGCAAATCGACTGAACAACAGAATGACTGGTCACTATGATGCACAATGACCATCAGGGGGCAGATGCTCAATGCAGGAGCTGCCCCCTGGTGGTCAGTGCACTCCCACAGGGGGAGCACCACTCAGCCACAAGCCTGGCTGATGGCTGGCAAGTGCAGCGGTAGCAGCGCTAAGGATGTCTGACTGTGGCTTGGGCCCGCTCTTCATGAGACATCAGTCGGACATTCCCTGAAGGCTCTTGGACTGCTAAAGGGCACATGCCTGCCAGCTGAGGGATCCCTCTCCCACCAAGTGCACGAATGTCATGCAACAGCAAACTAAAGTGATGGAAACTGAAAGGTGGTATGGGTTGTTTAAAGAAAGATATACCCACTGCATTGGTAGGCTCTTCGGACTTCCATTCTAACCCACACATCCACATAGAAGGTATACTTGATCCCAAAGAGGGCCTTGGGTCCCCCCCAAAAAAACCAGAATCTAATGCAAGGATTCAAATGCAACTAGTTTATTTTGGAGGTGATTTTAGGAAACTCTGTAGACTGGGGACATGAGAGGGAGAAGGCTATAAAGAATTTGCTGTCAACTCTGTGGACACCTAAAACTAATCCAATTGGGAGAAATTGTGGTCTGTGCACCTCAGCTCAGGGCACAGAAGCTGGGGTATTCACCCACCAAGTATCAGCATCTAGATTGACAGCTGCTCCCTGGAGGGCCTTAATTCCCAAGTACTTCTGGCAAAGTGGGAGTTGGTAGCCACAGAGAGTTGCAGGCAAAGGCAAGTAGTGAGGGCAAGGGATGTGGGCAAGGGTCTCAATAACACCTGCTGCAGAGCTTACCCCTGTGTGGCCAGTCTGGCTCCAGCAGGGAGAGGTGAGCAGATGTAATCGGGAGAACTGTGAGTGGTGATGGAGAAGCTGCTTTGGCAGGTCATCCTTCCACAGTGGGGCTTAGGAGACAGGTTAGCTCAGCCACAGCTCTTGGGGCAGAGCTCGACTGAGGTTCTGGCTTCCTTCTTAGCCACATAACTTCAAAGAGGGAAACTGAACTATGAGAACTTCGGTTTCCTCTTTGGAAAATGGGCATCACAGTACCTTGTGGGGTTATTGTGAGAACTAAACAAGATTGTACATAGAAAGCTCTTAGCGTGGCATAACGTAAGGACTCAAAAAGAAAGTTTCTTATTTTTAAATATCATTTAACTCATGTGTTTTCTTATAGTGAAGGCAAGTCTGGTCCTGTGGTTAGAGGGTTCTGAGGCTTCCAGGAGTGAAGTGGGGAGGAGAGAGACTGAACATGGATGAGACTAACAGCCAGGGGCAGGAAGTAAGAGGTGAGGTCTACAGGGTTCAGGCTCTGTACTGACACTGTACAGAGATGGGAATGACAGCTGCATCCTGCACTGGAGCCAGATCTGACACAAGAAGCTCTGGGTCTAAAATCTTAAGCAGGTTGTGAATTAGAGTGTGAGGAACATAAAGTCCGGAGCTTCTCTGCTGAAATCCCTCTTGCAAACTTCTAGCCACTTGGGAGATGTAGAGAGGAATCCAGCATCAGGACCACTGTTTTCCCACTAATGCCACCTTAGGCTATTAGCTGAGGACCAGAGCCCCATTAAAATGAGATGAGCACTCTCTTTATCCCAGCTATATTGGCACTGACTCCATAGGGAATACCCCTGGGCCAAGGCATTGCTGCTTCCTCTCCAAAGGAAAACCACAAGCCAGGGCACTGACCCCTCCAAGCTCATAACTTCTTTGGGCAACTGTCCCAACCATGGAGCGTCTGGTGCCACCTACACCCACCTACAGCATGTTCACTGGCTGCCTGCCATGACACTCAATGTCAGCCATGATTCCCATTAAAAAAAAAAAAAATCAGGATTTGTGCTGCTCTGCACCATTGCTGAGAATTCCATAAATCCCATCAGTGGTCACTGGGGACAGGGTGGCTGTCTCCCCAAAAACTATCCATCCAGGTGCCATGTGTCTTTGCTTATGGTCTCCCTGCTTCTATTTCATTTGGAATGCATGTATCTATGTCCTGCACCTGTAAACTGCGTGGGAAGTCACAATCCTACCGGAGCCATCAACAAGCTTTCCATCAGCCTTACTATGAGGACATAATCCTGCAGTTGGTTTATTTCTGATTTTAAAATTTCTTGTTATATTATCAAGATGCAAGTGACATTCCAACAAGTCACCAGATTCCCAGGCTCAAAAATGTCACTTTTTGCCCATCTTGTCTTTTAATTCTGGAATGTGACTGGAACCTTGTGTTTTTCTTCTCCTCCTCCCAAGTATCATTTCAGTCCAGCTCTTTATTCACTTCAACAACTCAGGCACAGTGTTTCTGAGGGGCTCTTCCACAAGCCCCCTCCATATTTTCCCCTCCATGGCTTCGAATGAAACTGGTGAGCAGCCATCTGCCAGCACAAGAGCAAAAACATCAGACATCAGCATTTACCTAAACTATGTCTGCCAGCCCTTCCTAGAGGCATCTTGGGTGCATGGATATTTGTCTTGATTATCCAAATCTTCCCTCCTCTTGTTCTTACTAAATGGGTGTGTGCTGTGTCCCATTGTTTTCTGCTATGCAATGCTGATTGCTG